AACCTACCAAAATGTTATACTTCGATCTTTGAAGCTGAACAAATAATATCAGAGAAGATTAAAGATAAGTATGACATGGCTCGGCCATGCTGATGTGATCATTTTACATAACCTCTTGCTTTATATATTAGATATACTGTTCTCTTCTTACCCTAAGTGTATTCCTCAAAAACCCATAGCAGCAACCACTGATGTCACAGTAGGACTAGTCGTTAAAGCTAATGATGTGACCCTCATGTAAAGTCTGACATATTATGTAGTCACGCTATGGAAAGTCTACGATTGCGTTACTATAGTAGCATAGGTAAGTTTACTAACAATAGTCTAGACCATAATTTTACAATACATCGATTCAGTGTCCTGTGATCGTCTCGAGAAGAATGTCAAGGGTCGCCATGTGATTTTTGCCAATTTTTGTAAAACTCCAGACTGTTGGGTTGGATGCTAGACGGTCATACTGATGAATGCATCTATGCCCAAGTGTGTAAGCATAGTCAACTTTGTAACATTTTTCTACACTGAGGAATATTCTTCCTTCTAGTTCGGTTATTTTTTCATCCCCATGATGATGTCCAGTTGAGGTACTGACGGAAAACGCGCAATTCGGTGTGTATTGTCAGTAAAAACTTACTAGTACGTTGGATGTACATAGTTACTTGATTGTGACCCATTCTGGGCGGTGCAGAATGGCAGCCACCTTGTTTTCCAGAAGCCTAATACCCTGAGTGTCAATTCACGATAAAAAAAACGTCGAGTGTGTCGATTACGATTTGTTATCTCTAATTGTTTACAGTAGTTCCACGTCCTTACAATCGTTGGAAAATAATATTCACATGCTATATATGGAATTCTCTGTCTGGAATTGTGACTAAACAGTCATCGATATATGCGTTCATATAGTGGAGACCTCTGAAGACATCGTAAATGAGTCGTTTGAAAGTTTGATCGGCATTTACTTGGCCGAAAGGCATGCACAAAAAGTAGTGCAGTCCCAATAAGTTGATGACAGCTGTTTTAGGGATATCGTCCACAGCCACAGGTTATTTTTTGACCAATTCGATTTCCGAGAAGACAGTCGTACTATTCAATATAGCTGTCAGGCTGTGCATACACCAATCAGTACTTCTCATTTTAGGGACCATGTCTATGGTAGATGCAATGAGCTGGTTGACGGTCTGAGAATTCCCTCATAGATTATACGGTCGAATTCACTTTTAAACAATAAGAACGATTTTTAATCATTATTAGTATTACTATAATAGTAGACCTAATGCAGAAATTTTAGATTTGTCGTGAATTGAAAACCAGTTCCTGGGTTTGCGTGATGCCATTGACTTTGTCAATCCAACGAGTCATGTAAATATGTGGCTACTACTGCATGAACCATCCAAAATGAGATTATGTTTGCAGAAAATGTATAGCTTAAACATGGCATTAGTTTCCGGAATACTATCCTTGTTGTTTGGCAATGGAACTCGAAAATTAGACATTAGGTAGGCAGTGGTCCGAAGAAAAGATATTGGAGGGTGGTAAATGTTTTTAAATAGATTAAAATGTGAAGTGAAGAAACAAAATGAAAAACTGGATCCAGGTAACTACACAGTTCTTGCCTACATCGATCGCCAGCTTATGTGTATGTACGGTGATCGTGAGCCATATTTTCTAGTCGTTGATGGTTTAAAAGTGTATTTCACTCAAGTGTGTAAATGCTACCAAAGCTTGGTAATGAACTATCATAGCTAAACGCAAATGTAATTAGTCAGTTATTTGTACAGATCGAGTCAGTAAGGTGAGTACTAATCAATAACAAAATGCTATCATACACATGAGCATAAATTGACAGACTAGTAGAAAAATGATTTAAGGTAAGTAAAAATCAATCAGTAAAATGAAAGGAAATAGAAAAATTGATGGCAGATTTAGTTCTTTCAGTCAGTTAAATCGATGTAGAATTATTGTCTAAATAATTTTCAGCATTACTATGATAAGGGACCTAATCCCAAAATTGTGGTTTTGTCATGATGTGAAATCCTAATCTATAATTTATTACGTAGAATTCACAACATCTGTTATTCTAACTCGTCGTATCGTAAGAATCAGATATATAACGTTTAATATTTTTGAAGAACTCATATCTTACTGCAATAATAAGTTATTCTTTCATAATTATTCTTCTTCATTGTTACTAATTTGACAATACATACATAGTCGTTTATTCTTGTTCTGTGTTCATATACACGCTTACTAAACTATTTGCGTATTTCACATCCCCTTTATTTCTATTCCCTTATTTTCTCACTTTCCTTCTTTAAAATCAATTCAATATTATTCTCAATTACACAGACCTTGATTTACTATTATTCTATTATTATTAGCCTCTTTTTCAAATTGTGGAAAATATAATGCTAACATTATTGAAACCTGTGTATTATTGCATTTTTGAAGAAACCCGAAATGGTTTCCTCCCAACACTTATGTAACCATAAGATGTTTGTGAATAATAATAATAACAATAGTGTTTAATATTTTTAAAGCGCACATTTGGGCTGGGTAGAAAGTAATATGTTTAATACAAGATCCAGTAGGTTTTACATAGAGTGATCATGCCTGCGTGGCCAAGCCATGCAATCTTGAATGAATCTTCTCGTGCTCATCATTATCGACCTCCTCAAATTGTTACATGTTGAATGTCAATCTCAGTAATCTTCACCTCTGGGAATCACGTTGTTAAGATCCGATACCACTACAAAACCACGTTAAGGTAACTATGACTTTCATCAGAACTGACAGTGGCTTTCGTCCTGTGCCCATTAACTGAAGACTGGAATTTGTAGACGATCAGTGGCATTCGTAGAAGGTTTCTTGGAATGTTTAAGGTTGAGAAAAATGCAGGATTTCCAGAAATTTATGGAAGGCGATTAATATATTGTGGCACTGATTAAAGTTATCTGTTTCTCGCCGTCTAGAAACAAGTCATTAACCTGATAGGCTTTTTTAAGGGGTTTTCGACCGTCAGGAACCATGCCTAATGCTAAATAATGAAAGATTTATGTAAACCGAGGTTTCTCTTTGACATAATGGATGCTTGGGGTCCTAGTGACTGCTTGAATCTGATTGTCAGTCTAGAGCGTCATACTGGAGTGTAATAAGGACGACTTGCATCTGTTGAGGAAGCTTGGATAAAACGCACCACCCATAAGAGTCTCTGAACAAACGTCACTGTACAGTGACCACTCTCATACGTACCACACTTTCTTTTCCAATCCGTTTCGTGATTTGATAACGTGTAGTGGCTGGTCTAACCCTCTCAGACCGATTAGATCTCTGTGTTCAAGAACGGCGTTTTTCGGTGTGGTAAGTTTCTAAAATAACACTAGTATCCATACAAAGTGTAACATAACTGCTGAACTAGCACGATATGTTTTTACTACTGAAAAAGATTGTGCGCATGAGTCTGCCATGTGTTACTTGTTAAAGTCAGCTTCTGCACTAAAAACTAAATTCTCGTATTATAAGACCACGATAGCATAGGTTGCTTGGTGAAGAAAGTCAGACTACACCCTTAACAGTTTGGGTGTCTGTCCCAAAATAATAAAATGTAAGCATATGCAAATAACTGAGAATATTAAACCAATTACAATATGTAAATAAACAAATAAGTACATAAATATGATGTTGCAGCAAGGAATAGACTCAAAGCCTGTCGTTTGATGTACCAGGTCATATCAGGCTTAGCACTAAAATTGTCACGGATATTCTGTCTTGACAACGCTTTTATCTGCACCATCTTTGTGTTTTGGGTTCCACTACATTGACTATCTTTGTCTATCAATCAATCAAACAATCAATTACAATCTTTCATGTGTGCTGAAAGCGTGGTTGAGTTCTTTTGAACCATTTTCTGTGTCCTGCAGTTACTGTTCGGAATCTAATTCACGTCGCTCTTTTTCCATCCTTAATAGACTATACAAATTTCTGCTTTTGTATGCTAACGGTGTTGATTTACGTTTATGAGGCAGATAAAGTGTATTAAGTCGAATGAGTTACTCGCACCGGCTCCGGCCAAGATATGACTATGTGTTTGACAACCTAGGGATTAGCTTAGGATTGCATCTATGGGTAATTATTTTCCACATGCAATACTAACTTACTACAGATTCCACCCCTTAGTCACTCATTTCTTTTGTCTATTTAAAAAAAGATCAATAACAGAATTTTGTACTTTTCATAATTTAAAAACTAAATATTATACTGCAAGCACAAACGTAAACGAATAAGCCGTTCTTAACTTAAAAACCAAATCCTCTCGGAGAAACACCACGGCTTCAGAATAGGTTATTCTTGTCTCACTAACTTATTAGTGGATCGTGAAAGCTGGTGCGCTCATAAGGATCAAAAGCTACCTGTAGACGTCGCCTTCATTGATTTCAGTAAAGCTTTTGACAAAGTTTCGTACAACCGGCTGTTATATAAGTTAAGAAAATTCGGGATTGGAGGCGATTTATTGATGTGGATAAAAGACTTCTTAGTTGGGCGTCAACAAAGAGTAAGGGTGAAGTCAAAGATATCTAGCTGGGAAACTGTGCTTGTTGGAGCGACTAGGGTACAGTTTGGGGGCCAGTGCTATTCCTCTTGTATGTAAATGACCTTCCTTGTCTCCTATCATCATCGGTCTTGCTATATGCTGACGATGTCAAGATATGGAGAACGATACGATGTAAGAGTGACAGATTAGAACTTCAAAATGACATGAAGAAGTTATCTGAATGGTCTCAAAAATGGCAGTTGCCGATAAATACTTCCAGGTGTGTTGTGATGCATATCGGTCATCAAGGCATAGATACATACACAATGAATAACACTGAGCTACCTGTCGTCCAGACATATAATGACTTAGGAGTTATCGTTAGTCAAGACTTAAAGACTACTGCACACTGCCGGGCAATAGCCGCCAAAGATTTCAAAATCTTATGAACAATACGTAGAGCTTCTAGTCATGTCGGCTGCAATTAAACGCAACTCAATTTCGTAAATGTGCCCTTCAGCTTAGCAACCAATCAGAATGAGGCGGGAATTGTTATATCCGCCATCTTTGTAAGCAATGGCGGTCGGCTTTCTTCGTTCTGTGTTTCTTTCAGCTATTTCTTTTGTGTAGCTATGTAATTTAATGTTTCGGTGTGCTAAAATGCCGCAGTTAGTGTAATGTTCCATATGTTAGTTTGAAATTTACTCCGAATCTGCGATTTTTTCTGGGTTTTTGCTGCTTCTACTCAAGTCAATGTATTTCTTCAGGCAATCTGGCTAGTCTTGTGTCATAAAATGTTAATGCGTTTTGTTCAGAGTTCTTTTTTTCAGATGTCGGGAGTCAAGGTTAGTTTTGTTAGCTTAAATGAGTGTTGAGGCTGTATATACAGAGTTCCATATGGAACTCTAAATGTTGGCATAATCGTTCCTAGCTGGCAGGCAAGGTCGTTTTTCTTACGTCATAAAATCTTAATCCGTTATATTTTGAGCATTGTTTTTTAGATATCAAAAACCGAAGTCAGTTTTTTTTAGCTAAAATAAATGTTGCTGCCGCATGTGACTGTAACTGGCCGCATATTCGTTCCTAACTGTTATTTATTATCAGGCAGAATGAAAGATTTGTTATTTTCTGCAGTATTATGGATCACGCTACTCCATCAACCAGTCAAAGTAATACTGAGTGTCCAGTGGCTGTGGATACTGGTGATGTCTTCGAAAGAATTATGAGACCCAGGCAGCTGACAAGCTGGGAGCAAGTCAGAGAAGCTATCGATATGTTGCAAAAGGTTTGTTATTGATAATACACCATCTAAAAAGTAATAGATGACTTGGACTCATTATGTAGTACGTGAAAGCAGGCTGAACAAAGAAAAGCCGGAAATGCGCTACCAGTATGTAGTGTATGTATGTTCTTTTGGCCATAAAAAGAAGCCGGAGGGCCATGGTCAGAGAGTAAAAGGGTAAATGATTATAATTATTGTTTTCAATTTTCATAGATCAAAGTTTAGTGGTTGCAAGGCCATGTTTCGTTTACGATATGCTGTGAACCGGTTCGTCATATCGTCGTCGAGGATGATACATAACCATCCTTGTGATGAAAAGTGTTTGAAAAATGATCCTTGGTTCAGAAGACTAAGTAAAGATCAGCTGCAAGTTGTTCTACCGATGGTTGAGACCGGAAGTAGTGCTGAATCGATTGTTAATTATGCAGAAAAAAATTTCGAAAAGACAATAACAGTGCATTATGTCAATAATTTAAAATATAAATTTGTCGAACGTAAGCTTATCCCATATATCTACAGTTTCTTAGGTTGTGGAAGTTTAAACGATGTAATTGCGACCTTAAGGAACAATGGGAAATTGTTCGTCTCTTATGGGGGTGTGGCTAACCAGGTCACAAAGATAGCATTTAGCACACACGAGCAAATTGTAACGTACAAACGGTTCCCTGAAGTTGTGTGTTTGGACTCAACATACAACACGAACAGGGGAAAGTAAGTAAAAATTTTCCTGCGTACTAATTGTCTTTAGTTATAAACTCTTTCAGCTGGTTTGTACAGATAACTGCGGGCATGGAGTCCCAGTTATGTTTGCTTGGACTAAGGAAGAGAAGAAGGTTGATGTAGTATGGATACTAGATCATTTTAAGAAGATCATGAATGGAACCAGTCAAACGGAAACGTTTGTGATGGATTGTGCAAGACCCATCATATCCGCTGTTGAATTAACGCACCGTACTGCCCACATAGCTCTATGCTCTTTTCACGTGTGTAGAGCTATGTGTAAGAAGACCCGCAATCCAATAATCAAGCAGTACTTATGTCAACTGGTACGTGAACAAACAGTAGCTAAGTTTAATCAGACACGACGCATAATCAGTGTACGCAGCAGACGCATCGCAGCCTACTTAAACAAGAACTGGATGAGTAGGAAAGAAACTTGGGCCGCAGCTTTCAATAGCAATGTCGTTACGTTGGGTAACAACACGAACAACCGGGTTGAAAGTGCGCACAGACAACTGAAGAGAAAGTTGTCTAACCGAGACGCGTTGAGTAAATGTATGTGGAAAACATTTACATGGCAGAGGCAATTAGGCAAACGTAGGTCACTACAATCCAGCTTACACTGTAGTCACAAACGCAGATACGTAGCTGAAGAATGCTTAATGCCTCTACTAAGCAAGCTAACCACCTATGCTGGCTTTATAGTCCTTAAAGACTATAAAAAAAGGGGACTGATGTACATCAAAAATATCCAGTCACCCTTTGTGTTCTTCATAGACGGCCATCAATGTCCGGTAGTGGATATAAGCAACGGCACTTGCACCTGCCGTTTATTTAAAACCTGTCGAATTCCATGTAAGCACATGGTTTTTACTCATCTACAAATGCCAGAGTTCACAGGTATGTTATGTTCATCTTTGTATCATGAAGTAGTTGATTTAGTTTTGAAGCTCTGTTGCAGATGGACTTGGCAGGCTATTCAAGATGTAGATGGAAATATACCAGCTATTCCGTCTCCAGATTATAATGAAACGAACAGACTTTATCGCACTCTACGCAGTAAAATCCACACGCTCAGTACACTTTTCGGACAGACAACGGTGCAGGACACACTAAGGCAATTGATAGATCAAGTTGATGAATTAATACGCATGAGGCGTCTGGCTACAGTTTCCGAACATGGTAAGTCCACTGGTACTTTGGAAACCAAAATCTAGGTATTTATAAATGCATCTATTAAGCTAATACTAGTACTCTCTATTTCAGATAATCAATGAACACAAATCTCGTCATGTGCGTCTGCCGCGTTGCCAGTTTCTGTTAATACCTTATTAAATAAAAGTCTTGTATTCGGTAAATACAGAGTTTCTTGCTATATTTCGTATAATGGGGTGAAAACATTGAATGGGCCTGTAGTTGTGTTTTGACAAGCGCGTACCCTCACGATGCTTAGTGACCCGTCAGTGTAGCTCAGGTATTGATTGGAAATCCGACGGCATCCCAATAAATAACTGGCTTAAACGCGTACCCACCAGCGTACTAATGCAACATATCATGTCGGCTGAAATAGGTTATAAGAAAGCCCGGACTTAGGGGTTTCCCGTTGCTTGCTTATCATATAATATTTCAGTCAGAAACTAAGATTACAAGCAGGGACTGTCAGGATGTGTGACTGAGTCAACTGTCATAACTTGGAATTACTGTATATCAACTAGGTGCACACAGGCTTCTTACAACGATTAACTAAATAAAACGAAATAGCACCAAGTCTATAAATTTATTCACGAACTTTATTTAACAATGGGATATGAAACAAATATTTACACGAGGTTCCAAATTACATTGTAGCTTTGGTAAAGTGAAGCTGCAGTAGTTGATTTTTTTTCAACGACAGGGTATAAGAAGTAACTCCAAAACACTGGAAATGGTTGTGAGACTAAAGTGGACGTTCGATATGCTTTTAATAATCTGCTGTTACTTGTGTCTCCCATAAAGTTTCATAGGGCCATAGTTATAAAGCTGAATGACTTTGTAAGATCTGTCACGGCTCGTTCCTGTTACATTCAAAATAAAATATAGTAATGTTGAAAAAGTAATTAAACAAATTACATGTTTCAAAGGAAAGAATTTAACAAGCTGTGATTTACCTCGACTTCATAAATATCAGATCACGCCAGCTACTAAAACTTATGCAAGGTACAGCATCGCACAGCTTTTATTATTTTGCTCCCACTTAAGTATACCCATGCATCTGCGTCTGGCTTTACAGGAAGATATACAAGTTGATTTAGTATCTGATAAACTAAAAGTTCCAGTTGTCAAAAAGACTCTTAACATTTGTCCACAGCCAGCAGCATTTAATTAGGACTGAACACTCCTCATCTAACACTGTATACTGCTGTTTTGCAGGCAACTAAAAGCTCAGACACTTAGCTATCCTGCTACCGATGTTATTGCCGGGGAAATTGTTTAATGACAGTGGTCTTGAAACATGAACAGTGTTAGACGTACTGTCTACAAATAAACACCAAACGTACTTAAAGCTATCTTATAATGTATAACAGCAACAGTACCAGAAGCATTTTTCCCTATTTTTAATCAGACTGATTTGAATCAGTATATTCATCAGAAACAGGCAACTCTACTTACTAAACTGATCTGTTTCGTTACAGACTTCAAGCACTATACCATAATTCTTTCAACTAAACTGAATTATACGACAACCAAGAATACTAAACTAAGCAAGTGTCATAGTTATTGTTTCATTTGCACAAGCATATTGCTTAAAGTAGTTAAATGGACATAATTAAGACGATAAAACAAAAACACGAAATATAGGCCAATTGAACTTACCGATTAGAAGACAAAGAATATATATATTGCTTCCCGACTGAAGACAACAGGCAGTTGTTCATAAAAACATAGTTTATAGTACAATAAACCTTTCTACAGTAAAATCATGCACTGACTGTCTATCTGGAAACAATCAACTATGTGAATAAACTCACTATGTCTTGAGATATCATCCCAGCATGCAATGGACGTGCAGTGTAACGCAGTCGAACATGGCGAATAAAAATATATAAAAAGATCAAAATTAGCTATATAATCTAGTTATTTAATTAAAAATACATTATGAAATGTCAAAATCTGTGGTTACTTGAACGCACAGACGATCGGTACATTAAGTTTACATGGTTGCGTTGCGGATAAGATCACCCGTCATGTCGACGCTAAAACGTTTTTGACTTTGTATACAGTGTTCGTTCGTCCTAAACTTGAGTACTGCATACAAGCGGCTAGCTCCTGCCTAAAAAGATAGCGAGCTTCTGGAAAAGGTTCAGAGAACAGAAAATAAGATGATCCCCGGGGTATCGAAGCTTTTGTTTATGATGCTCGACTGGCCGAGCTAAACCCGTTGTCATATCGAAAAACTAGAGACGACTTGATTACAGTTTTCAAATTGCTTAGTGATAAATTTGCACCTGATATGCCCTTATTTTTTCTTGTCTTTCAAAACAAAGAACTTACGATGACACTCCAAAATATTCACAAGCCCAGAACAACTTATTTGTCAGCTGACAATCGACTTTCCCATCGAATAATCAGCGTGTGCAATTCATTACATCAGCACGTGGTTGAGGCTCCATCTATCGACTCTTTCAAAAGAAAGTTGGATCAACTGAGAGAGCAACATTGTCAGGACTAACACAGATCATCAAGTTTCCTGGAATTTTCAAACTCAAACTGAAATCTGAAACTTTAATTTTCATGAAAAGCGTTTTATTTTCTGAAATTATTGTTCAGGCAACCACATATTAAATGAAGTAAAATATTTTTTGAAATACTCAATTTAAACGCAGGACATGGTTTTTTCTTCCTCACGAAACAGTGTTTTGTGACTTACAGAAAATTCGAACATTTTTAAATGATTGAATTTCGTTAGGTGCTAAAGGTCATACAAGCAATGGGACTGTTTTAAAATCTGGAAATGAGGTGTTTCTGTACTTAGTTTTCACCTGAAATGTCGACCTCGAATTGCCATTTCTCTGCCATAAAAAGTCTTTTCGATAACGCTGTTGAGAATGGCGAAATTACAGTACTTGAATTTACTACTCGACTTTCGGAAATAAGTAGAAGCTTATCACCTGAAGAGAAAAAAGTACCACCGCTAGTTGTTAATCACCTTTTTAGTCTCTGGTACAATGCGTAGATACCGAAATGAAGATGTCGTATAAGCAGATTCTAGAAAAGCACTCTTCAGACAATGGAAACGAAAAATTGTCTAGAGAGTAAGTCAGTTATTCCCTAAGTATTCCAGGCTACAATTCCAAATTTTATTGGTCCTACATACTCGTTTATTATGCTCGTTTGAAGAAGCTGATATGTGTGCTGATCATGAACTTGGTGACTGGGTAAGTAAAATGGTTATCTGATCGGTTTAGATTTCGGAACTCACCAGTCGGCTTAGCTTATGTAATCCTACTTGTAATGAATGGAAAAGCTTTCTAAAATTGGAAATTGTCGATAGGTAATTTCCATGTCAATTAATTACTTTAAAGGTACAAGACAGGCTTTGGTCGCACATTATTTTACGTCTATATCAATCTTGGTTTGGAACCTCCTGAGTGCCTACCTCATGATACGGAACTTACAACATCAGAATCACGTACTCTAGAGGAAAATGTAGATGAGGTCGATGGGGTCATACCAAGTTCACCTCAGTAAGTTCTGTCTTTTCTTACTGTCTACAGCAGTTTTAACTATTACTTTGTGTTAATGATAACTAAAGTTCCTATCTAAGCAATTCTAGTTGGGATTTCGATAAACCACGCCCTCCCCAAATTATATTCTTATCGATTCTTAAAAGAGCATGCACCATGTTTATACTTTGAACCAAAGAATTATAGGGAAACTTTAGGCGTTTTTGCTTTAGTATGGGTAGATTACTGAACTTAGTCACGTGTTCCTTGGAGTTATGTTACAGCTATGTGAATGACCGAGAATTGCACCTGACCCATTACCCACATCATGCCTTTTTCTATCAAAATATAGTATTTCTTCGTCAGGTTAGCGACCTAACTTGAATCATGTAAATATAAAGTGTTTCTGACCGAAATCATGGTGTTAAAAATCAGTAAATGAAAACCTCCAGTAATGTAGCTCATAACCATCTGTTGACTCAACTCTTTCCTTGTTGGTCTTCAAATCATAGTAAATCCTGTAAATCAAATTTAGCTTTCCCGCCTAATAATGTCGTTCATCTTCAGCCCTTAACGTTTTGAAGTTTGATATCTTTAAATGGTGAATTTTTGTGTTAAACTCCATATTCGCCATCACACTATCTTCTAGTGGCGTATCTTTAAATAGGTCATTCTGAACTTCTGCTTAATGAATAGTCCTGACACTATAATTTTCCTGTTATGTTACTCTTACTTGTGTTAAAAATCGCAAACACCTTGTTTTGGGGTCCACAATTATAAACATAATAGACCCTATTATTTGGAAAATCCCTTCTAATCATCCTAAAACTTCTACTTATTAGATTTCAACATTTCCCATCTATCGTCTAATTGCTTAACTTTCATAGTAAATATCTATCCCATCTTTCCTCAAGTAAACTGGAAAAAAGTACCTTCAATTCCATCACAGAATTTTTAATTTGTATATCATCCCTTATCCTCAATATTTTTAATTTACTACCATTGAGCTGTTAGCCTTTAATGAATAAGGTCTCCGAAACGTTTTTGCCAACTTCAACCTAATCATTCAGTTGAGTTGGCAAACTTGGTTGTAATCATAATGTTTGTTGATAATGACCTGACATATTTAATTGGTGGTCGATAAAAAGTAGAAAAGAAAAACAACACTTCTAACCATGAGGCGACATCATTATTATCTGGAGCACAAGCAAGATGCAGACTTAAGTTGAGAAATCACTATTTTAACCATAAAAAAATAAACAAAACAAGTTTAAATAAAGTACACTATATATTTACTTTGTGGGAAATTAGGCTAGATTGGTTGTCCTATTGTGGAATTTCAAACATATCATAACCGATTTCAGCCGTTTCGCAAACTTTATTATAATGACGCACAGTTCTGTACACAGATCAGGATAATAACGTTTTTCAAATTGGTGACGTTTTTTAGGTACCAAAAAGCTATCATAGTGCATCATGGTGACTTATTTGGTGTCAGTCGTGGGTAACCAACAACCGTTTGTTGAAATTTATACAAGGTTAATAATCAAGTAAATGATGACGGGTTTCAAGTTCCATCTCATGTATCTACACCTGCTCTTAAGCTAGATTATCTTAAGTCAAAAGGGTGTTCCTACAGATACTTATAAATTTAT